CCCCAAAACCCCAAAACCCCAAAACCCCTCTATTCATCGAGAATTGAATTTATATAATAAAGACATGACTGAAGATGAATCATGGGTCTTATTCTGGACCATATTTTCAATCCTGATTTCAATCCTTGGACTTTACTATGCATCGGTATTGTTTCACAAGACCAGAAAGGCACTTCTGAGGGATTATCTTATGATGGCAAGGCTCATCAACCTTATGACACATTTTATATCTGGCATTGTAATTTTTGTATTGAGTCCTATTCTAAACAAAGGGCTTATTTATGAAGGAGACTCCAAATTACCTTACTCATTATACTTCTTGTACACATTCGATGTGAATGTGTACTGATTCGTCATGCTTAACTTTACGAGCCAGATTGTTCTAATTGTTCATATTTATTTTTACTCCAAAATTACCGAGACCTATCCGTACTTTATAGCTAGGGAGAGAATCAAGAAAATCGAGAAAATTTGTGTCTTTGCTGTCCTATCAGTCCATGTAACCACACTTACAATAATGATTTTGATATTTCTGCTTGATGTGGGTTGCAGTTGAGAATGCCAGTATTGAGACACTCTCATAAAACCTGCCCCAGGAGTTGCATGAGGGTTATCTAAAGGTATGCAAGGGTTTCTATTCTACACCAAAGCAGGTCTGTTTGGGCTGTTCTTCATGATTGTAGGCACTATATCGTTCATTTTCATGTATTTCCTCAAGAAAAATCTAAACTTTTATTACAAACAGATCCGAGTAAAAATTTTGGTATTATTAACAATGAGTGCCATATATTTCTTTGGAACCTCAACCTTCAGCATCAGAGAATCTATTTATGGAAGAATTGTGAGTGATATTATGCGTGAATTTATGAATGAGCCTGACAACAAAACTGGAACATTGATTTCTTTGTTTGCAGCTGTAATTGTGCAAATTACATTCATAATTTACGTGTATTTAAGCTTAACTCTGGTTGATTTCAAGCAATACTTACAGGATATCACTGGAGGTTATGGACTCAAAGATCGCTACACAGAGTGATCCATATTTTTATATCAGAGAAAGCAGAGTGCCAGGACTCAGGCTTCATTAATAGATGCTGAAGATTCAACATCAAGCCAAATAAATGCTTTATTAGGTAAGACTTTCATTTGCCATAATTCTTAGTTTTCATAGGTCAGAACAGAGACTCTCAATGAGTTTGGGATTGTTGATCTGTTCTATCAGAAGCAGATGATGAGTATAAACAAAATTATGAGGAAATTGCACAGAAAGAGCTGGCATATAGATCAAGTGTCTAAACTCTGGTGCGAAATTTTTACCTAAAAGAAATGCCAATATATTTCATATTACTTGGGGTTTTGGGGTTTTGGGGTTTTGGGGTTTTGGGG